TGGGTTTGGTTTGGACCAGACAGCAAGGATCCACGTCAGTTGAGTCGCAATAATTCTCCATCTGCTGATCTATCTGGATATACTCGAATATTCACAAAAACGTAGTTGTAAATTTTAAATATTTTATTTTTATTTAAACTTAATTAGGACCATTGTGGGCCACCACGAGATGGAAATGGACAAGTATGATGTGATGGAGAGGCGACGTGGCGTGATCAGGAACGTTGATCGTTTGAGTTTATCTGAAAAGTGGGACCCACTTGCTAGCTTACCTAACGCAAATGATTTGTATAAGATTTATCGAACGCGGCGTCTAGGCCATGGTTTGGCATTTCTGGTTTTTTGGAGCATGAGGACAAGATTCCCTTCCACCATCGAAGGGGTAAATTGAGGGAGAAATTGAAGGGTATTTTGGGTATTTCATTTAGTCAATAATTTTGAATTTATCATAATTATTATTTTCGTTCTTATTAAAAAAAATTAGGTTAAATTTTTATTTTATTATAATAATTTCAATTAAAAAATTTTAATAATTACAAAATATTTATTTTACTCAAAAAAATAATAATAACAATAAACTGATTAAAAATTAATATAATTTAATCACTATAGTTTCATTATTATATTTATAACTTTAAATAAATTGCATACATTTATACTCAAGTGCATTTCTTCCTTTAACTTAGAATAAATATAATTTAAAATATATAATTCTACGTAAATATTAATAATTATTTTGTACTACATAATTCTTTGTTAAATAATCACATTATGTATATTAATAAATTAAATTTAGTATGCGCCCGTGAATACCTCATATATATATATATATAATTAATGTTACTTGATATGCCCTAGCTATATATTAATTTTTCTCAAACATAGATTACCCTTCGATCAAAATCAATGAGTCATCAAGGAATAATTTGGAAATTGAATAATGACAACGTTCGTGATTTGCAGATCTCTGGAGTAAAATAAATTAGTAAGGACATCCTACTAAGCTACACTAATCTTTATATTAAGTTGTTAATTAAGTAGAAATAAACACATAATTATGACCCACACATGTAATTCAACATGTGTATGCCAATTATTTAAGCTTTTAATTGTTAAAAAGGTCAATTGAACCTTAATTAATTTTAATTTTCTCAATTAATTAGCATCTTCAATATAATTATTGTTGTTGACTTTAGTCAGCAAGCACACATGCGTTATCCTCAATCACATACCCAAACATTACATGGACTTGCCAAATTATTGTCATTTTCAATCTCTGTCACCTTCCTTAATTTCGTTTTTTTTTATCATAATTATAATCTTATCGTCTCTACCTGAATCCCATATATAAATTATATATATATGTGCGTATATATATTAGCTATGATATAGTTTGACGTAATTAAAAACCTAGCATATGCATGTGTCGGCAATTGTTATGCTTTGTATGTTTAACGTGATTAATTTGTGCCACCCACAAAACTCACATTGTTTGCCCACTTATATATTTTCATTTTTCTTTTTTAATAATTTATGAAGGCTATATATATGCACGGAATTCTTGTAGAATTTTTTGAAATTTTTATTTTTATTAATTAAATTTATTACCATCATTTTATTATTAAGCTACTGAAAATAAGTATTAACCTTCACAAAAAGATAAAACTAAACTTGAAGTTGAAATTTTTTGTCGACGGAGGAAAGAAATAAAAATGTGACAAAATATTATGACGAGAAGTCTAACGTGTTGAAATTTGAACGAAATGTCATTATCATATAATCCTGTTGATTAGTAAATTTTAAATTAAAATAAACTCACGATTAAAGTAGTGGGTATATTTCATGAAATACATTTGGATAAGCATTAAAAATATTAATATTTTTTAAGTGAAATTTTAAACTTTTTTTTTTGTGAAAAAAATAAAAAAATAGAAAAAGAAAAAACATTGACAGCCTTTGTGATTATGCCAACTCAAAATGAGGAGCCCATTTAGGAGAAGCGGCCCAGAGGAGATGGGAAAAAAAAATACAGAGTTTGCGGTGAGCGTAGATCGAACACGCGACCTTCAGATCTTCAGTCTGACGCTCTCCCAACTGAGCTATCCCCGCTTTTGTTTAAGTGCTAGAAGCAATTGCTGTAATATAACTGAGGCCCGAAGAAACTGCCAAAACAATGCACCAGCCGGGAATCGAACCGGTGTCTGTACCACAAGACCGCTGGTGGGTTGGCAGCGTCGTTAGCAACCTTAAAAATATACAATGAAAAAGAAAACAAAGGAAGAGGCCAAAAGGAATGCACCAGCCGGGAATCGAACCCGGGTCTGTACCGTGGCAGGGTACTATTCTACCACTAGACCACTGGTGCTGAATGATATGAGTGCTTTAGCACTTAAGTATATTTAATTTATAATATACCGGGTGTCCCAGCCAATTTTGGCACTAACTACAGTAGCATTCGAACATTATTTACTTGAAAATTTAAAGTCCAGGGTTGCGTTTTATGCAAAAAGAATTAACGTATAAGTTTAATTTTAAATGTATTTATAGTTATATTTACTATGATATTCTTATATTTTATACTTTACATCACAAGTTTGAACTATTTAATAAATATATAAATTCAAATGCACATGCTCTGTATATCACTTCCTTCTATTTGATGTAAATTATCAAATTAAAGTAAAATTTCTTCACATATATATATATATATATATTTTTTTTTTCTATTATGCGTGTGCATATAGGTTTATGCATACACTAATTTAGTTTCAAAAATGCAAATGAGTTGATAAATTCATAAGTTATCTGTAAATTTTGTCAATTACTTGTAAATATAAACTAGACAAATCTATCAATTGCAAATTTAAAAAGATTATGATTAGTTTATGTTCTGGAATATTTCAATAATTTGTTTTTAATTATGGGTGTAATTGAAAATTAAATAATAAGAAACTGGGTTTACATTTATAAATATACATGTATTATGTACACCAACGTACCTGCCTTCTCAAATAAAACAAATAAAAAAACAAAAAGTGTGCATCATATGTCTTCTACATCTCCCATTACCCAGCACCCATCAATCAATGGATCAAAATTTCAAAAACCCACTTCCGACATCGTTAATTTGAAGTCATTTTGCTTCAAATCTGGCACAAATGGTAAAACTTGATCAGCAGTTTTCAACTTTCTATCCTCTGTAAATTCTAAGTAAAGTGGAAACTTACCTACCTTCCACCAATGTGTTAGTCCATGAGAGTGACATAGAAGAAGAACGATACTTTCTAATTTCATCAAATGTTGGATGAGTAAATGATCCAAAATGCATTGAGAAATTACCCCACATATCCTTTTTACCCTTTACCTTCTGCAGCAAGTAAGCTTCCATATCTTCACTTCCTGGATCATAGCCATCGTTTTTACCCTCCAAAATTTTCACCA